GTTACCATAGTGATATACCTGTTTTATTTACAATAAGATGTGAAAAAAATAGTTAAAATTAATAAAAGCAATATAAAATTAAAATTTAATAAAATACATGACATAAAAATAAATTTAAAAAAAAAACGAAAAAAAAATCGAACAGAAAACAAATTCATAAATTTATGAAAAACTGAAAAAACAATTAAAGGCACTAAAACATAAAAAATATAAAATAAAAAACCGATTAAGAAAACAACTTTGAAAATTTCAAAACATTTGATTTTCAATTTGATTTGTATTTTGCTATGATAACGATGGGCCATCGAAACATGTCAAAAATCAATTTCGAATGTTGCGATGGTCCAGCGTTTCCATAGCCCAGGATATCGTTGGTCAGCGGCCGTCCCTTTCGGGACAAAATGATATGCATAAATGAAGTATTGTTACCGTTGAGATCACTCATGGCATGCATCCTAACCTCTGTGAGACTGTGTATTTGTCGAGTTTTTTTTTTATTTAAAAAAGAAGAAATATTAACTATAAGAAGAGAATTTGTGCCGAAAGTTGACGGGTATTTGTTCATAGAAAACTGCAAATATGAATAACAGAATTCGAAATCCAGATTAGGAGACTGATGAAGATTTAAAATCGGATATCCAGCGGTACGTATTGCAAAACCTGAGTCGCAAAGAACTTTTAGACTTTGTGCAACGAGATTATCCACAATACGCGTGGAGTTTAACAACGCTTAGTCGAAGGATGGCTCATTTTAATATTAAATATATCGACTATGGTACCGATTTGGAAGCAGTTGAGACAGCTGTCAGAGAGGAAACTGATGGACCAGGGCAATTGCTTGGATATAGGTCAATGCACAAAAAGTTACGAGAACAGCATAATTTAGCTGTACCACGTGGCGTAGTTTATGACGTTATGACTCTGGTTGACCCAGAAGGTCTAGAACGTCGAAGTAATGTAGGGAGAAAGAAACGTCACCGTGGACAAACTGGAACATTTACATCATTGGTAAGATATTTTTCATTCAAGTGGATTCCAAATGAACACCACAACAACCTTGACATTTGATTGTCTTGCAAATTTATTTAGGGACCCAACCACACTCACTCTGGCGACGGGCATGACAAGCTAATGGATTACATGAACTACACTTTCCCTTTGGCAGTATATGGACTTCAAGATGCATTCAGTGGTTACATTTTGTATTTAAAGCTTTGGACTTCTAACTCTGATCCTAAACTAATTGGGCGTTGGTATTTGGATCACCTTTATCAAACAAGAGGTGTGAATATACACTAATGCAATTCCACCGATTGGCCAATCATGATTTACAATATTATTATATACTCAAAATGCTGTTCTCGCCAGTTTAAAAATGAGGGAGTTTGAGCAGATATAATTTGGGATAAAGCTTCCATTGAGTGGGGTAAATTTCAACTACTTGTCGTTAAAATTCTAATACCTGTAGACTAGTGGTAATTTTCAATGAGAACTGCATATAAGTTAATAAGTTAATAAGTGACAAACCATTGAAAGGTAATGAGAGGGGGGGGCAGAAACAAATTGTGTAGGGGAAAATTTAAAGAAAAAAGTTTGCGCAAGGAGGAAAGCAAATAAAAGTAAAAAAAATTCTACAAAAAAATTCCTTGATAAGCTGAAGGCTGAAAACAATTCATGCAAGCTGAACCCCCCCCCCCCCACTTTTCTAATGGTTTGTCACTAATGAAGCTGAGAAGATAACTTTTTGTTACATTTAACAGCAGGTGTGTACTTTTGTATGAAAATATTGGGAATTATGAAATGGTGCAAATAAGTTGTGCATTTTTTTGTTTCAGTGATCGGTAAGAATCTTCGATTAGATAAGGGGACCGAGACTGGCCAAATGGCTACAATTCATGCATTTTTGAGACAAACACATGGAGATGGACAAGCAAATCAGGATGCTGTTGACACAGTGCACTATGGTCCTTCCACAAGCAACAAGGTGAAATTGTTTGTTGCTTGGATCTTTGCTAGGGGCCTTTTATGCGACAGTTTTAAAAAGCAAAACAAACATTGTTAGAGCCTAAAGCTCTGTTGAGATATTTATATTCTTGGTGTATAACAAACTGTTGTAACAAAATCCGAAATACATTATGTTGGAATTTGGAAAGAAGTGGGAATATGGAGTCTGCACCAAAAACAGTTTTATACTGCCGGAAATTGTGCTCAGAAATCAACAAAGATACAAATTTGGGGAAAATTACTGTACCATATACCTTAATAATATTATACTCTGGCTGTTTCATTTCAATTCCTCTAGATTGTAGTTTTTTACTTGGGGCATCTAAGGCACCTCTGCATGCCTTGCAGCAGGTTCAATTGGACTCCTCTTGTTCCATTTAAACTAACCTTCCAAGGCTAAATTGGATGTTTAAAAATAACATGTAAATTGGATGTTTTTTAATAATACAGATTGAAAGGTGGTGGCGTGAGCTGCATCAGCGTTTTGAAAAATTCTTCAAACGGCAACTGAGGATGCTATTAGAAAGAGGACATTATGATCCACATAACCCGTCTGACAAGTACAGTGTTTATTTAGTACAGTAGATATTAGACAATTTTTTTGAAAATTTAAAAAAACATAGCTTCTATCTATTAAATGTTAAATTATTCTTTTTTTTAACAGGGATCTACTTGCATTTTTCTTCATTCCTGTTATTCAAAAGAAAATGAACATATTCAGAGAAACTATATGGAATTCTCACAGGGTCAGAAGTCAGAAAGATGCACAAATGCCTAAGGGGATCCTTAATCGTTTGTATTCATTTCCAGAAAACTATGGGGCTGAGGAATGTGGTACGGTACGGAAAACGAACAAAATGTTAACTACCTCATTAATTAATGTACATTGGCATATCAAGTCATGTTATTGTTAGTGTTAGAGACATTAATTCCAACTAAAGTGTGGTTACGATTACCCCAGCATATCATTCTTAAAACTACATTATGTTAAATTTAATTGCCCACACAGGCTTCAGGAGTCCTGCCCTCACATCTGAACAGCTATATTCAAACGTTTCCCTGACATGTTCACACTTCTCTTATACAAAAATTTCAGCTGCTGTGTACAACTTGGTTTTAATATATCATTGATTCCACTCTTATTCCCTTTTATATCAGACTGAAAGTATATTAATTTACAAGCATTTCTGTGTTGTACATAATACATCAGTCACAATATCTGTAGGCAGATCAGGCTGAAACAGGCAGTAAACACCCACCCCCACTTCATTGTTGTGAGACGAAAAAAAAAATTAAACAGGATGATATGGTCTCCTCAAAGATTATAGAAAGCTTTATATAAAAATCGGCGAAATTGAGTGTTGCTTAATCATGTAAAAATAAAAATGCTTTTTGACATAAAAACATATTCTTTTTAGGATTACCTGTCACTAAAGAGGCGCTAGATGAGGCGGCACAATTATCAAGTGTCATGACCGTTGGAGAGGACTTTTTATCTCCCAATGTAAGAGCGGAGTGTGAACGAATTATTCCAGACATAGATGGTGTGAAACCCATGGATGCTGCTGATGCCAATCTTTTCCTCAAAGCCCATTATCAATAATTTTATTGTCAGTGCCAAGATACACTAATTGTATTTAAAAATAGAAACCGTGGCTAGAAACATTCCAAATGAATAATGGTTGCACAAGCTTAGTGGCAGTATAGTAAGAAATTTGAGATTATAAATTAGCTCATAACCAAAGAATGACACTGGTTAACTCATTAAATTAAACAGCAAAGCATCTTAATTAATGGCCTTACTTTGTAATTTTGCATTGTCTAATACCAGACGGTTTCACTGGTAATGGAAAATTGTTGGACTTTAATGAGCTGAACATGATAGGTTGAAAAGCCAGAACCAGCCGACATTTTATGAAAATAAAGTATAAAACAAAAAACCCAAAAATGAAAACATCTTGAAAACCCAAGATATGGACAAAAGCAAGATGTAATCTTAAATGGTTATATTTCGATCCTGTTACCTAATTATTCCATTATGATGATTACCCTATTATTATTATCCTTTTATGATAATTATGTAATATGATCGAAATATATACATCAGATTTATGTCTTGCTTTAGTCCACATCTTGGGTTTTGAAGATGCATTCATTTTTCAGTTTTTGTTTCATACTTTATGATTGGTTGAGGTGATTGAATACTTGATATCATAACAAAAACCACTGAAAATGTATTAAGTTATTCTTATACAATCAAAGCATTGCATTAAACATGATAAATTCCATTAACATTAATAGCAGTAAAGTGGTGTTTATTGATAAAAACATAACTATGTAAATAATAAGTGTGAACAATAATTGCTAAAGTTTGCTGTTAAATAAGAAAATATAATTCCAAATTCATGACTATAACCAAAATAAACAAAACTGCATTTATAAAGTGATAAAAGTGCCAGTTTATGTCATTCACTGTTTGCATAGTTTTTGTTTAATTAACTGGTTTGCGAATACTCTTCTTTAACTCGACAAGACTGACAAACCCATTAATTTACAGAACTCATTACAAGTATGGTCTTCTATGAACTTCTCCATTCCCACAGTAGGACAGTTACCACAACAAAAATACATTTCATCTGTTTCAATATCTAAAACATTATCTGTGGCTATTTCTGGGTCGTACAATGTGAAATCGGAGCCCTGTATATCAAGAAGCATAAGTTTCTTAGATGAGTGATAGGTATAGTGCACCAAGCACCATGTCTTGGCAAATATCTCCTTGCACTGACTGCTTGCTCCCTCTGGTGGTTTTATACACTGGCCATCATTGTCGACATCTTCACAAATCTGCCTGGCACATACTCTTCAATTGTTGCAGGTTCACCATTGTTCAAGGTATAGAAACAGCGGTTATATTTAAAACACTTACCAAAACTGGATGGGACTTTCGAGTCAAATTTCTTTGTAAAGTGTCGTGCCCCAGCATGCATTTGCACCTATTTGCAACAGTGGTTTTCAACTGATGTGCTTGCAATCCCTTCAATTGTGCTTTTAGCCCTTGCATTATAGGTTTTCACAACCCATTCTGTTGGTTGGTGGTTTTTAGCACTTTTCTTTCCAGTTGCATGGAAAGTATCTCTGAAGCCACCAGAAGCAAATTTCTTGGCGTCGACCAGAAGTTCTTCGTCCATGACTTCCGTCCACTCTCTTGATTCAATGTCGAATGCTTCAAAAGCAATGGTTACTTTATTTTTTGGTTGTGGTTTTGCTAGTTTACCAGCTTTTAGTAAAGCATCTATTGATATTGAAGCTGGATAAGCTGTTTCTATAGTCTTACTTTTGGTTGGGTTGCATGTGGCAGTTGCACTTTTACAATTTCTATTGGGGTGTGAAGTTGATTTGCTGTCCTCATAATAATCTTCAACTCTGTCTTCAGACAATGGCTGGTCATCCTGCATCACCACAAATCTTACCAGGTAAACTTGTTTAGAAAATGTGATGATTGTACTCTAATACTTCTTTCCACAATAATATCATATATATATATAATATACATGTACTATAAATCCATACAAGAATGAAGATGATGACATTTGTAGCTCTTATGCCCCCCTGAGATCTTGGTGAAAACTGACCAACTAAATCAGTCTGAAAATTGTTTATATGTATGAAGCACTTCGAAGGGTGCTAAAATTTTACCTGATAAATATCTTGGGGGAAGCTTAGGCGGGGGCGTTCCGGAAAACCGTGTCCGAAGGGTTACTGGGTAAACCCAGTAACCTGGTTAAGGGGGGGGGGGGGGAATTTTAACTGGGATGGCCTTATGCGGGTACAAACCTATTTTACATATGAAAATTATTGAATTTAGGCCATTAAATTTGAAATGTTAAGGCTTACAAAATTTTCATTTTACCTTATCCTTGCGATGTGTTATCTGTCCAATGTTTGTACATGAAGGTCCTTTGTTTGAAACCAAAATATCGCACGTGCTCGCTGGCAAGTTGAAGTGGGCTGCGCACGCTTTCTTTAAGTTTACCAATGAAAGTTCTTCGTACTCAAAGTTGACAAATTCCCTAGGTTTCACAGGTCTAAATGTCTGCTTAGTATCTGGCTCGGACGCTAGCCGTTGTACTATGATCTCGTGAGGAGCAGTCGATCCGGACTTCTTCTTTCGCGCGCCCTGACATGGCATCATTACGAGTTCTCTTTCCACTAATTTTTGCTTGAAGATCATTCCAAACTGCTGGCCTTTGCATAGTTCTTCGTTTAACCAACAAAACACTTCTCGAAGAACGGTCACAGATAGATCACAGAACAAAAATCGATAAAATAAATGCGCAAAACTTTCATGACTTTGCATGAATATTCGCATTTAATTTGCAGTAATTCCATGTGACGAGTGGGAGGCCGCTGACCAACGATATCCTGGGCTATGGAAACGCTGGGCCATCGCAACATTCGAAATTGATTTTTGACATGTTTCGATGGCCCATCGTTATCATAGCAAAATAAAAATAAAATTGAAAATCAAATGTTTTGAAATTTTCAAAGTTGTTTTCTTAATCGGTTTTTTATTTTATATTTTTTATGTTTTAGTGCCTTTAATTGTTTTTTCAGTTTTCATAAATTTATGAATTTGTTTTCTGTTCGAATTTATTTTCGGTTTTTTTTCTTAATTTATTTTTTGTTTTTGGTTTAAATTTTACTCAAATATTTTTTCTATATTTTTATGTCATGTATTTTTTAAATTTTAATTTCATATTGCTTTTATTAATTTTTAACTATTTTTTCACATCTTACTGTAAATAAAACAGGTATATCACTGTGGTAATGCTGGTTCACCATACTAGCCATACATTTCGCCGAACATAACTTCGGTCCCTTTGACAAATCTTTTTCGTAATAGTATAATTCCAACCAGAATCCAAAACACTATGTAGAGTGTTATTTTCAAGCTTGTGTCTTCAAATTTTCATCTTTTATTTCGGTATTTACAGAATATTTATATTTTTAGCGCGGCCATGAAACGTACCGGTGTCCCAGGATTTTCGCCCCCCCCCCCCTTACAATTTCGACCCCCGGGGGACGAAATTCTTAGGAATATCCCCCTCCGGGGGGCGAAAATCCTAGGAATTTCGCCCCCCTTTAGGAAATTCGCCCCCCTTTGGAAACTTCATCTTTTCTTTATGATTTTCGTCCTCCGTTCAAAATTTCGCCCTTCCTAACAGTTGCATGGGATAATTATTACATGCATGGCTTTAATCATTTCAAATCGGTATCAATTCAAAATTCTTAAGACAGAGCTTGAAATAACAACCGATCACCGATCAATGATCGGCATGGAATTGCTTATGATCGGCGGAAAAGCAGGGTTTCGGTTTCCAACCTGAAAAAAGCAGGGAAAGTCATGACTGCCATAACTTCAAGCCCTGTAAGAATACAAATTTACAATTACATGGATCGAAAGGGCTTACACAATAACAGTAGATCAATAGGACTTATGACGCTTCACAGCACACCATGCATATTTTGCATTTTCAGTGTTAATCCTTAAACTCATTGTTAAAAAGTAATCACCGTGGTGGTTATTGTAATTATTGGTATTGTTTTGCATCCACGTTTTGTCGTTATCGGAAAATGTATGGCTTATAAGTTGTCACTATTTTTTACTTGCATTATTTCAATATAGTTTGTAAATCTCAGAAGCGAAGGGTAGAACTTGCCAATAGGCAATACTCCAATAATATACGTTTCAATTGAAAGACAGAAAAGCTTTTAGTTTTGCCGAGTTACATTCTCAAATGTTTAAGGCACTAATAAAATCAAAGTATCATGAAATTATTTGAATAAACCACACTGCACATGACACATATACAGGGTGTCTCAAAAAAACCCAAAATCATTGAAATTGACGTATTGTTCGATATTCAATGCCCTAGCACTAAGTTAATCCCACGAGTGCATAAAAGATTGACATAACTGCTATAATGAATGGTAATACTCAGCGTAAACTTGTTATGTCAGGCATAAAGTACTAAACCCACGAATGCATATTACGCATATTACAATTTACGAAGCATTTTTAAATTCCCATGAGCAAACAAACGTTCACTTTACAAAGATATTTTAATTTTTTAAAACAAATTAATCACCCTGTCAAAATCCTTTGTGTTACGGCATTGAAATTCGAACAATACGTTATTTCAATGATTTTGGGTTTTTTTGAGACACCCTGTACAGGGTGTCCCAAAAAACCCGAAAACTATTGAAATCACCAATAACAATTTAATTGTTAGAATTTGAATGCCTTAGCGCTCTGTTGGTTCCCACGAGTGCATAAATGATTGACATAAGTAAATTTTATGCATAAAGAAACTATTTAAGAAGCTGTTTTTAATTCCCAGGAGCAGAAAATCGCGCACTTTACCAGGAGATATTCCTAACTAAATTCTAATACATGCACCTTGTCAATATTTTACGCATCATTACGTCCAGCTGTTTGGTAGGGCATTCAAATTTAACAATAAGTGATTTCAATAGTTTTCGTTTTTTTTGGGACAACCTGTATAATGCCATTTTCTTTGCGGAAGTTAAAAATCAAGATTACATCACTGACACGGAAAGTTGACGATTCAACGGACAATAGTCAATACGCTTCCCAACACATTCACAGATTTTTTGTTAATCCTATAGTTTATTGTTAGCAAGTGATTACAGTGGCGGCTATTGTTTACACTGCTATTGATAAACCTTGCAAGCGATTGTTATTATAATATGTTATGTGAATGTAAACTGCCAGAAGA